GCCCCGCTACCCGGTCAAGGACTGGCTCCTGGGGGACATTGCCTCGGGCTTCAGCGTGGGCATCATGCACCTGCCCCAGGGTGAGCAATGCCATGCCCAGGCTGCTGGGGGCTCCCCACAGGCAGGGGGGCCGGGGGCTGGCCCCACGGGCTCCCTGCTCTCCCATATCCAGGCCTTGCCTACGCACTGCTGGCCGGGCTGCCGCCTGTCACCGGTCTCTATTCCTCCTTTTACCCCGTCTTCCTCTACTTCTTCTTCGGGACATCCAGGCACAACTCTGTGGGTGAGCTGAGGGACTACGTGCTCCCATGGGGATGTGGGGAGGGAGCGAGGATGAGGGGGGCAAGCCTTCATCCATGGCACAGCATTGCCACATCAATGGTTGGGGGGGACCTTTCTTGCCTTTAATTTGCCCCACCAAGAAGGTGGTTGGCCATACCAGAGCCAAAACACGGTGGGTGCACTTTGAGCCCAGCCCAAGGGGACAGGTGCCTGTGGACCTCAGAGAGGTCCTGGTGCTGAGCTGGGCTCCCTGCCCACACCCTGCTTGTCCCCAGGCCCCTTTGCCGTCATCTCTGTCATGATTGGGAGCGTGACGGACTCTTTGGTGCCCAGCGAGAACTTCCTGGAGTCCGTCAACGGCACCAACATCACGAAGGTCAATGAGGAACAGCGCGACGCCACCAGGGTGGAGCTGGTGGCTACCATCACTGTCCTGACAGGCATCTTCCAGGTAAGGGGGCCCCAGCCCAGTCTGGCAGGGAACGGGGGGCCGTGGTGCCCCATGGCTGCGAGCTGCGGGGCACTCCTCCTGCCACCTCTTCTTCTAGGTGGCCCTGGGCCTCCTGCAGTTTGGCTTTGTGGTGACCTACCTCTCGGACCCGCTGGTGCGTGGCTACACCACCGCTGCCTCTGTGCATGTCCTCGTCTCCCAGCTCAAGAATGTCTTTGGGGTCTCCCTGGGCGAGCATTCAGGGCCGCTCTCGCTGTTCATGGTGAGTGGGAGCTGGCTGCTGCCCTGGGACCCTCGGGCACTCAGCTGTGGAGCACACAGAGGCCCCCAAAAACCTGCCCGGGAGGCATTTGCTTTCCTGAACCCATTCCCTCCTCCTGTGTCCTCTAGACCTTCATTGAGATCTGCCAGAAGCTGCCAGAGACCAACGTGGGCACCCTGGTGACGGCCATCATTGCCATGGTGGCCATCTTCATCGTGAAAGAGCTCAACCACAAGTTTGCTGCTAAGCTGCCCATGCCCATCCCCATCGAGCTTATCACGGTACCCAGAGCTGCCCCAGCTCTCTGTGGGGATGCAGTCATGGGTGGCCCTATCCCCTCCAGGGTGGGGAGAGGTGGGATGGGGTGCCTTGGCGAGTGCAGATCCTCCTCCTCCTCCTCCTCCACCACGGTTCCTGCATAGGAAGGCCCTGCCTCACTCCAGCCATCCTCCCCCAGATCATTGTCTCCACTGGCATCTCCTACGGCGTCAACCTGAACACCAAGTTTGGCATCTCCGTGGTGGGCAACATCCCCAGCGGGTGAGCAGGGCCGGGTGGTGAGGGTGGCTGCGCCAGGGCACTGCGCTGCCCATGGGACCCCCCTTTTCAGCACCATCTCCCTGTCTTGGCTGTAGGTTGAAGCCGCCCGTGGTCCCTAACGTCAGCTACTTTGGGCAGGTGGTGGGCAACGCCTTCGCCATTGCCGTGGTGGGCTACGCCATCTGCATCTCCCTGGGCAAGATTTTTGCCCTGAAGCACGGCTACAAAGTGGACAGCAACCAGGTGATGCTCCGACACGCAGGGCCCTTTCCCTGGGTGAAAACCAAGCTTGTACTTCTTGCAGCTGGAGGAAGGCATGGTGCTCCCCCAGCGCTGCTCTGTCCCTGCAGGAGCTGATCGCGCTGGGCCTCTGCAACTTCCTGGGGGGCTTCTTCCAGTGTTTCGCCATCAGCTGCTCCATGTCGCGGAGCCTGGTGCAGGAGAGCACAGGGGGCAACAGCCAGGTGGGTCTGGGCAGCGCTGCCTCCCTCCGTGGGGCTGGACCGGGGGCAAGGAGCACAGCGAGCGGTGGGGGGCTCACCTCTCGTCTCCCACTCTCCTTCCCCTCAGGTAGCCGGTGTCATCTCATCCCTGGTCATCCTGGTGACCATCCTGAAGATTGGAGAGCTCTTCCGGGACCTGCCCAAGGTACAGCTGGTCCCACAGCCTCCGTGCCACGTCCCACCCCTGTGCCCATCCCATGGCAAGGTGGTGTGGCAGGGGAACAGCCAAGGGCCCCCCCAAGACCTGCCCTCAGCATCCTCATAACTGCAGGGACTTCTCTCCTAGGCCATCTTGGCTGCCATCATTATCATCAACCTCAAGGGCATGTTCAAGCAGTTCGATGACCTCCGCACGCTGTGGAAGTCCAACCGGGTGGACCTGGTAAGGTGCTGACTGGCCCCGCGGCTTTGCTCTTGTCCCTGGAGAGGGTTTCTCCACCCTCCCTGAGGCTTGCAGGTGCCGGCAGGAAGGCCATGCCACAGCTGACCGTGTCCCCCCTCTAGATGGTCTGGATTGTGACATTCGTGGCCACCCTCACACTGAACTTGGACATTGGCCTGGGGGCCTCGGTGGTCTTCGGGCTGCTCACCGTCATCTTCCGCACCCAGCTGTGAGTACCCCGGGGCTAGGGCCAGTTCCGCGTCCCAAGCGCAGGGGAAGCCTGTAGTGACCTCAGCCCCTTGCTCTGCTCCCCACAGCCCCCACTACTCCATCCTGGGGCGCATCTCCGACACTGATGTCTACAGGGACGTGGCTGAATACCAGATGGTAACAGCACCAGGGGGTGGGAGAAGAGCCGCCTGCAATGGGGGGGGGCAGTTCAAAGCACCCCCCAGGGGCTGTTCGCTGGGGAAAGGAACAGGGGGCATTTTGGGGAGGGAGGGGAAGGAAGGGGAGCAGGGGGCTCCATCCCTGGGGTAACACCCTCCCCATCCACCCCCAGGCACAGGAGGTCCCCGGTGTAAAGATCTTCCGCTCATCCTCCACCCTCTATTTTGCCAACGTGGAGCTGTACGCTGAGGCCCTGAAGAAGAAGGTAGGAGAGCCGCCAGCCCCCCGGTGCTCCCCGTGCCCCCTTCCTGCCGTGACACCGGGCCCCGGAAGAAGAGGGTAGGAGACCCGCCAGCCCCCCGGTGCTCCCCGTGCCCCCTGCCTGCCGGCACCAGGGTGGCGGTGGGGTGCCCGGGGACTCAGGGCTGCATTGTTTTGTAGACCGGCATCAACGTGGACCGCCTGATCCAGAAGAAGAAAAAAGCCCTCAAAAAGCTGAAGAAACAGCAGAAGAAAGCGGAGAAGGAGGCAAAGAGGAAAAAGGTGCTTCCCTGCTGCAGGGGACTGCCCCGGTGGCACCCTGCACCACCTCCCTGCCTGGCCCTCCTGCCCGTGCATTTGCCGGGCTCAGTGGCCCGTGGGGCTGCCTCAGTCTGGGGCCACTGGGTGAGAAGAGGCACTGGGGCAGAGCCTGGCCATGGCATCACACCCAAGGTCAGCAGAGAAAGCCGGGCCATTAACAATTAGGTGGTGGAGCCAGTGAGTCATTAGCAATTTGGTGAGTTAACCAGAATTAAGAGCAAGAGCAAAGGCTGACGTGGTGCCAGCTGATGAGCCTGGCTCTGGAGAGGGTCACTGGGGAGAGGAGGGGGTCCCGGCACATCCAGAAAGAGCCCAAAAGTGGGTGAAGGTGCGAGGGAGCCACCCACTCCTGGGGCCACCCACTGCCCGTGCCCTAACGCAGCCAAAGAGCCTCACCAGGCTCCACTGCGCTATAGGGCAGGGCAAGGGGACGTACAGTGCCTGGACCGCGGGTGCCGCCAGCCCCTGTGCAGTGAGGCCGGGTCTCCTTCCCTCCCCCAGGATGTGGAGGACACGGTTAATGGTCCGGGTGTGGCGGTGATCAAGCTGAGCGGGGCGGAGGGCAGCACGCCCCCCGAGCCCACCCTGCGCACCCTGGGGCTGCCCCAGCCTGGCTTCCACTCTGTCGTCTTGGACTTCAGCCCTGTCAGCTTCATGGACACCGTGTCCATCAAGATCCTGAAGAATGTAAGAGGCCGGGGGAGCAGGCGGGCCGGCAGCCTTGCCGAGGGGGTGCCCAGG